CTCTTGCTAATCGTTTCATTCTTTGTAACCCAATGTGACCCAGTCTAGCATGTCAAGTACTTGCATCTATCTCCACATTACTAGAAGATGCAATTAAAGAAAAACAACCATTAACATTAACTTTGTACACATCATAGTTAATGTCAAACACCATAAAACCATTCAATACATAACCAGAACCGTAATAAATTGTTCCAAACAAAATGTCAACACAATCACCATGAAAATTAAAAATATAACCTAAGCTAAGAAGAACAACTACGGAGATCAAGTTTCGCCGAATATCTGGAGCATAGATGACATCATGTAGGAATAGGTTTCGACCACCACGAAAGGTTAATTTACATATGCCAATACCCTTCACTTCAACTCTTGAGTTATTTCCAACATATATCCATCTTCTTCCAGGCTGTATCCGACGATACTCCACAAATGCTCTTCGGTCTCTAGCTACGTGGTCTGTTGCTCCTAAGTCTACAGTCCACATTGGATGAGATTCAGCAAGCATTACAATGCTAGAAACAAAAGCATTACTCAAAATAATAGAGTAATGTGGTACCTTTTTCAGCTCAATGCATTCACAAGCGAAGTGGCCCAGTTTGCCACAATTGTAGCACATCTTCTTGGCCTTGTCCTTCTTCCCGCCGCGCTTCTTGCGTCGGAAGGTCTTGGCTCTCTTGGGTGCCTCATCAGTCTCTTTTCCTTTTTGTTGAATTTATGGTTCCTCTTGCGTTTAAAGTCTGAAGCTTTGCTCGAACCTGATTCAGCAACATAAACATGGGTAGAGGATTTTGCAGCATCTAGGCGCTCATCTTCTAATTCCAAATGACGCGCAATATCGTCAAAAATGACGATATTCTCATTGTGCGTCATATTGATTTTCATATGTTCCCAGCTGTTAGAAAGAGACCTTATAACAGCCTGAACTTGTTGTTCGTCAGTTAAGGTATGACCTGCCGACTTCAGCTCACGTATCATGTTTGACATCTCCCGAAGATGCTGCCTCATCGATAGATTTGAGCGCTTCCGGTATGTGTCAAATTTGATGGTGAGCCTCCTCAACTTAGTGGCAGACGTACCCCCAAACTTATCTTTCAAGGCAACCCACATTGCTTGAGCTTTGTCATAACTTTCAAACTCACACATGAGATCATCTTGCATGCAACTCAGCAACGTGGTGTGAGCAATGCTATTTTTCTTTTTCCAAGCTTCAAAAGCTTCTTGATCTCTTTTGTGTTGAGCAGAAGTTCCATGCTCAGGTTTATCCATGGTGTGGTTGAGGGTTTCCAAAACCTCTTGTTCCTCAAGGATATATTGAACTTTTCGGTGCCAAATATCATAATTGTCACCGTTCAGCTTCTCACCCTTATTGAGGTCAGCCACAATGGTCTTGAATGCCGAAGCCATTATCACTATCTACTACACATTGACATAATAAACGCAGAATCAATACTAGCACATTTTCCACATAAACACACATATTTTAATTTGCAGCAAAGACAAACTAAATTAATGATAATTCAACAAAAGACACCAAAACGAAAGTTCACGATGTTCCCAATCAATTTCGGCGTACGATTGTTTTACTATCATTAACTTATTCAATTTGTGCAAATTTTAAGTTCTAGGTGAGAATTTCTTCTAATTCTACCAACCTACGAACTTCCACTAGACTAGATAATTCACAAAAATATTTAAAACAATGATCACATCCTTTCTAGCAATCATATAGCATGGCATGATGTAAATCAACAAATAGAACATTCATGCAACAAATATAATCAACAGCGGAATTCATGACGTAAGGATCTCCAGCCATTGTTTTAATATGCTCAAAATTAGATAATTGCAAGCACGTCAAACCATATAAACATGCCATCAATGAACCATGCTCTACATAATATTTATGTGGTCATTTACATGTCAGCCAGCTTCTGTATTTCCAAAACCATAGGGAAATACAAGTAAAATGCAATAATACCGCAAAAATACATGTATTTAGAGTTTCGTATGCATTTTCATATCTTTAAAAGCTTAAAACATATAAAATAACTATACCACAATGTAGAGAATTTCAATACGAACACAACGGTACCAACTACAACCTGATTGGACCTCGCATGCGCCCACAAGCGCCGCCTAAGTGCGCGGCGCGTGTGGCGCACGAGCCTGCCCTATACGGGCTTCTGAGCCGGTCCGAGCGGTCCCAACCGTTTCGACCGTTGACCGGTCCGACCGGTTGACCGTTGACCGGTCATGGGTCGGGTCTGGTCGGGTCACCGTCCGAGTCGGGTCGTGGTCGGGTCACCTTCCGAGTTGGGCAGGTCACCGGTCGGGTCAGGTCGCCGGTCGCTGGCCAGCGAGTTGACGTCAGCGTGTCGTCACCGACAGTTTTGCTGACGTCATCGATGACGTCAGCACGCGCCAGTTGGCGACGCGCGCGTGGCCTTCACGCGCTGGCAGTGCCAACGCTTTGGGCGCGTGGCTCCCACGCGCCTCGGCTTCTGGCTGCGCATGTGGGCGCGTACGGCGTCTTCCGGCGGCGCTCAACTCACCGTTTGGCTTGTCTCGACGAGTTCTTCAATTATTTATAATAAAAAATAATTTTCAACGTAAAGAATTTTTCGAAAATCATCCGAACAAAACGGTCGCCCGTAACGTTCAAACCCGTTCTTCGTTACAATTCATGTTCGTTGATTCATCTTGCAATTCCCGAGCAATGAACATGCAGACAGTATGAAGTTCATCATCATGATCTCCATATCAAACAGCAAGCGGAAAAAATCAACGGGAAAACAAGGCAGAGATCATAACCTAGCTCTGATACCAATGTTGGAAGCCAGTGTCGGGAGAATCGACTAACCTATTCGATACACTCCAAACAAAATTTTCAAAATCGTACATTGAATCACCAACAAACGATGAACGAATCTACTACACGTTGGTCCGAATACAATCACAAGGAAAGTATTCTTGTTCCACAGCGTTAATGCCGATTGTCTTCTCAAAGTAGATCCGGAATCCTAATGCGTCGAGAGAGAGAGTTCTTAATCTTGTTCTTTTTTCTGAGGAAGTTATCTTAACTTCCCTTAAGAAACTCTTCTCGCACCTCTTCAAAAGGTGTCTCTCAGACACATTTCTTATTAGAGCAAATGGTGTCCCTTGGATACACACATCATGGGCGGACCGACAAAATATAACAATTATAAGTTATAACCGAAAGCGGAGCCCACAAGCTACAGAAGTAACCGTCGATATTGGGTGTAAAGAGCGGAAAAGTAAGGACTGTCGAAGTAATGGGTGCTTTCTTTGTAACCATTGTAAACTGTTGGTACTAGAAACTTAATCTGTAGTAGGGATCGCTAATTAATGAATGAACACCGGTTGTTCAATTTTACTTCCTCGTTTTCTTTACATTTCTGTACACATGGCTGGCCTCCAATCTCCATACTTTTACTTTCTCGTCAAGTTTCCTATCCAAGAATTAACTATTGATCGTTCACATCGTTTATTGATTTTCATGTCGATCCACACTTTGAAAGGTTTTTCATTACCGATGAAACATCCATAAACTCGTGATCGGGATGGAAATCAGGGACAAGGTGACTGGATATGTGAATAAACGCTTTTCTGCATTGAAGGCGACCAAAACCGGTCAAAGAGAAAAATCACCGTCCCAGGGTTAATCTTCACTTGTTAGATGAGCATATGCATATACTCTGGCTGTTGGTGGCATCATATACACTATCACAGATGTCGAAGAACTTGGAGAATGGATGAAAGGCTGTTTGAAAAACCACCCCATGTTGGAGGCACTCACGGCCGAAGAACTCGAGAACGATCTAGTGGTGGTGAAGCTTTTGACCAGTGCAACCGAGGAAGGCCAGAAAGTTGCCAGGAACGGTGGGCAGACATTTCAAGCAGTATACAGACGCGTTGCTCTATAACTGTCCTTTGGAGTTCGAAGTTATCTAAATTTGTTAGGGTTGCTGTCACAGGAAACACCACATGAGTTAGGACATCAGAAATATTAGAAGGGTGCCATGAGTAAGGGTATTCAAGTTGCAGTTCATGGTCCTTAGTTTTGCCCTCATCGGGGCAGTATGAATTGCTTTGTTGTGCAAATTTGGTTAATAGCCAGATCATTAGTCTCAGATCATATATCTGAATGGTGATACAAGTCCTGGTAGCCTCCTAAATTACTTGAGCTCTTTTTCATGTTATGGATAGGTTTGTGGGGGAGGGCAACTTGAATGCCCAGTGGTGATTAGAGTTAGCACTTAAGGGGTGTCAACGGTTCAGGTTCCCATTGATATCGGACCCGATCCAAACATGTAGGATGTACGTTTATTGTGACCCAACCCGAGACTCGACTCGACTCGTATACCCAAACCGAAAACACGGTACTGATAGTATATGTGATAATTGAAGTCACAAGAGTCACTTTCTTTACAACAAGGTTGCGGGAGACTAGGTCATAAAGAAGTAGTTATTGCTCTTAGAAGAGTTCTACACGTACTTTGCAAATACGTAGGCCACATAAACTGAACCGTATGTTGACTAATGAACTTCGTTGTCCCGTGATTACTTCCTTTCACGTTGAGCACATGTATTCTTATAGTCACATGAAATTGACATTTGTAAGGCTAGTTATTTTAAGAATACGATCAACGAAATTAATATAATAAGTGATGTAGAAGACTGCAAGAGTGAAATTAAACACGTGGATCATGAGAAGTAAATATAATATTATATCACTTAATATATTGATTTTATAAATCAATTGTAGTATACTTAGCGCACAAAATTTGACTCCACTTACTTAAAATATGCGATTATCTGAGATCACTTTAATCAATCACAGAATAATTTATTCACAAAGATATCCTTTCTTCGCTGGACCATACCTCATCCGTGAACTTATGCCCTCACACCGAAACGAAAGCACGACAATAGAGAGAGTTTTCATGAATTTATATCAGCGATGACCAAACGCATCCAACTTCATCAGCTAAGAGCCTTTATTCTGTCATGCACCGGCACTCAAACATACAGTAACAAACAATGCTTCCATTAGAAACCACACTCAAGGAAAGAAATGGCCAAAGGCATCCATTCAGGCGGAGGCCGGCCGGGCTACGTGTCGGGCATCGAGCGTCTTCTCGTACTCCTCGAGGGACTTGAAGAGCTCAGCGATGTTGCCCTTACCGAACCCTCCGCACCCGCCCTCCTGATTCAGTTCTCCGTGATCGTCCTTGAGCATGCACCCCACTCTCTGTATGATCTCTAAGAATAGGGTTGGCCTGCACGGCACGGCAGCAAGAGAAAACAGATGAACAACAACAAAGGAGGGCCAACAGATACTTTAGCCTTTCGGAAAAATTAAATCCCACCTACTATTACTCAAGTTGGTCCTGGCTTAAAGCAGTAATCTATGGTAATTTGTTTGCTCCTGATATCAAATTAGAGTGACAAATTCAACCAAAATCTAAGAAAAAAGTTGGGACTTGGCTAACTAATGTAACTGAGGGACTATTCTATCAAGTTCATGACTGTCATGGTTATTCCTGTCTAAAGTGTCGTCAAAGGTTTTCGATAGACGATCGTAGCTCGTAGAGAGAGCCAGCATGAAATCGATCACATACCTATCACCCACAGGCTTAGTGAATATCTGGAACAGAATCCCCTCGTGGTCCCTGTCCACCAGAATCCCCAGCTCCTCGCACTCCTTGATCTGCTCGTCCGTCAACACGTCCCCGGCTCGGCCCTTCAGGTTCCTGTAATACGTGGGCGGTGGTGGCGGCATGAACTCGAACCCGCCAACCCCGCTCCGCTTCCTCATCTCCCTCAGCGTCCTGAAGATGTCCTCGCTCATCAACGCCAGGTGCTGCACCCCCGGGCCCTCGTTGTGCTCCAGGTATGTCTGGATTTGGCTCCTCCTCTTCGTCCCGAACACCGGCTCGCAAATCGTCAGGAGGACCTTCTTGTCGTTGTTCGCCAGCACGACAGAGTTGAGCCCGCTCTCATCGGTTCCGACGTCGTCCTTGGTGAACTCAGCAAACTCGTGGAAGCCGGTGAACCTCTTCACGTACGAGACCGCCGGGCCGAGCTCGTGGACGCATACGACGGCATGGTCGAGCCTCCGGATTCCGATGTCTAGCGGGAAGGAGGAGACCTCGTCCGTCGGCTCAAACCGAGGCAGGAACCAGGAGTCCGGAGAGGAATTGTTACAATTGGAGGCCGGGGTTTTGTAGCTGACGTAGCGGAGGACGACATCGCCGTAGAGGTGGACCTCGGCAATGGTGACAGCACCGTCAAGGATGACCGGTGGGGAGACCGGCTTGGTGCCCTGGGTGATGCTAATGTGGAAAGCGGCGTCGGCATCCTCGACCTCAACGGCGATGGCACGGATGGCGAGGCCGTGCTTGGCGGCAAAGGCAACGCAGGCAGAGTAGGAGAAGGTGGGGAGGGAGGTCATGGAGGGGGGGCCGAGGCCGCCGGAGGCAGAAATGGAGGGGGAGTAGGGGGCGGTGAAGAGGAAGCAGAGGTCGCCGGAGCGGCAGAGATAGGAGGCGTGGGTGGCATTGCCGGTGGAGAGGTCGGACTTGGCGACGACGGGCATGCCAAGGCCCCAGGAGAAGCGGCGGGAGGCATTGGTGGCGTCAGTGCACCAGAACTCGACGTGGTGGAAGCGGCGGACGGGGAAGCGGTCGGACCGGGGGTTGGACCGGACGAAGTTGGAGTCGCCAACAAGCTTGAAGTCGTCAGAGCTGGTAGTAATGCCGTCGTTTTGCTTGCCCATGGTTTCCGTTCTGGAAGCAATGCGTCGGTTGGCTTTGGTTTGTAAAAGGTTGTACGTCGGCAGTGACTGTGAGGAGGTAGCGGGGTGGGACTGTGAATATATGGAGGGGGGGAAGGGAGGAAATGGGGGGACACGTGGCATCAGGCGAGTGTAGGGAACGGAGGATGGTTTTTGGATCTCTCAGCTGAAGGCGGTCAAAAGTGAAACTAAGCACTTCATGAGTTCATGGTGCAACTTTGATCAAAGCAAAAAGCTACTTAAAACACGTGGCACAACGCAAAACAAAGGATGAACGAGAAAATGTGTTATGCTACATCATATGGATAATATATAACCGCACTACTGTGTATGACACATTTCTCCTCGTCGACTCTGCATCCGGCGGTTTCCGTCGCGCTCATTTTAAGAGAGGATCGTCCTCGTTGGCGACGTTTTCGAGCGCCCTGATGTGTTTCCGGAAAGACGATGCAGCTTGCTCTCTCTCCTCTAGTTGCCCCAGCTTGTCAAATGTGATCGCCATTAGGTAGAATGCTTCGGCTGCCAATTCGTGATACTGCGCGTCCAGCGGTACGAAGAATCAATCAAGTAAACAACTTGTCACCAATGCCCATAAGAGCATACGTAGCAGTCCCTTAATTCAATTGCGAGACCAAGTGCATATGACTTAAGTAGTAGCACCGACACGCGACACGAGACACGACACGTCACGATACGCAAACACGTTATTTCTCAAAAAATAGAGAAATTCAATACATAAGGACACGTTATATATTTAATGTATATTTTTATATATACATAATAAATGGTTATTTTTATGATTATTTCAATTAAATTAATTTGATTCAAATTTATAAATAAATAAATAATAAAAAAAGAGTGTCGGTACCTAAACGTTCTACACGTGTCTGACGCGACACAGAAGCCCCGGAGAGTATCCATGCTTCCTAGCATATGACAACGCAACAATTATACACCACACGAGAAGGCGAGGGAGAGCTGGCAAGGATATTAAGCTCCGACAAGATTTGATTGCAGACAATTTAAAGTGGGACAGGTGGTACTTTTGTTATTTTTTTCATGTTGCAGGAAGAAAAGAGTGAGCATTATTTGTTGAAAAATTTGGCTAAGTTTCTATCTTGATTTGATTGTCACTGTTGACAGGTAGGATTCTTTTCGTTTTTTTAAGAATTAATACCATAAAAAACCCCAAACTGATACACGTGTGACAATTTTACCCCGAACTTTTTTTTTTACCACTAAAAACCCCAAATTGGTACACATGTGACAATTTTACCCCGAACATACCTCAAAAAACCCTAAACTGATACATTTGTAACAATTTTACCATTAACATACCACAAAAAACCCCAAACTAGTACACATGTGACAATTTTACCCTGAACTAAATTTTTAATATTATTTTTTCGAAATTTTATTAATTTTTTTGTTTTTTCTTTTCTTTTTCTTCATCTTCAACCTTTGGCCGGTCGCCGGACCGGCGACCAGCTAGAGGCGGAAGCCGGCGAGGTCGGCCCCGCCGGCTGCTGGCAAGGGCCGCCCTCGCCGGCATCGGGCGAGGGCTGCCGTCGCCGGATCTGGCGAGGGCAACCCTCGCCGGCATCGGGCGAGGGCTGCCGTCGCCGGATCTCGCGAGGGCAACCTCGCCCGACGCAGCGAGGGTTGCCCTAGCCCTCGCCGGCGTGCCGGCAAGGACGACCCTCGCTCGATGTCGGCGAGGGCGGCCCTCGCTCGACGCCGGCGAGGGCGGCCCTCGCTCGACGCCGGCGAGGGCGACCCTCCTCGCCCGGGCGAGCGAGGACAACCCACGCTCGACGCGGCGAGGGCGGCCCTCGTCGGATCCGGTGAGGGCGGCCCTCGTGCCAACGTCCTGGCGGGCAAGGGCCCCCTCGCCCGCCCAAGCGAGGTTGATCTCGCGATGGCGGCCCTCGCTGAGTCGGGCGGGCGGCCCTCGCCGCGTCGGCGAGAGCTATCCTCACCCGCCCGGGTGAGGGCGACCCTCGCCCGACGCCGGCAAGGGCGACCCTCGCTCGAGTCGGCGACGGCCAACCTCGCCTGGGCGGGCGAGGACAGCCCTCGCCCGACGCCGGCAAGGGCAGCCCTTGCTTGAGTCAGGCGAGGGCCGACCTCGCCTAGGCGGGCGAGGGCCGACCTCGCCTAGGCGGGCGAGGACAGCCCTCACCCGACGCCGGCGAGGGCCGCCCTCGCCAGATCCGGTGAGGGCCGCCCTCGCCGGATCCGGTGAGGGCAACTCTCGCCTGAGTCGGGTGAGGGCGGCCCTCGCCCGCACCGGCGAGTTCGAGCCTCGCCAGCGGCCGGCGGGGCCGACCTCGTCGACTTCCGCCTCTGGCCGGTCGCCGGTCCGGTGACCGGCCAGAGGTTGAAGATGAAGAAAAGAAAAAATAAAAAAAATTCGAAAAAATAAAAAAATAATATTAAAAAATTATTAGTTCAGGGTAAAATTATCACAGGTGTACGAATTTGAAGTTTTTCGTGGTCAAAAAATTAGTTTAGGATAAATTTGTCACGGATTTACCAGTTTGGAGTAAAATTGTCACAGATGTACTAGTTTGGGGTTTTTGGTGGTAAAAAAAAAGTTTTGGGTAAAATTGTCACAGGTGTACCAGTTTGGGAATTTTGGTGGTAAAAAAAAAAGTTCGGGGTAAAATTGTCACACGTGTACCAGTTTAGGGTTTTTGGTGGTATTAACCCTTTTTTTAATGTCCAGATAGCAACAGGTTAGGAGTGATGACCATTACTAAAGTTCTTGCAAGGATAATTGCACGGCTTTAATAAAGGTTTCCATACGAAAGAGAGGGGCAAGATGCTTCACACATGAAATTGTCGGTTTCTCCATGAACCCAATTTTCATAGAATCTAACAGGTCTGCAACTAGGCTGGAAGAAACTGATACAATAAGCACTGCTTACATGAAGGAGTTGACGTACCTCTAAAATTTGAAGCTCATCCGAAGCTTCCCTCAGGGAATCCAGCACGATCCCTGAAGTTTCAGGAACTGCAACCAGGATCAAAAGATAAGAAGGGTAGCATAACTGTGGATGTGTTCAAAAAAGGTAATGAATCCCTGCAACTACAGATAACACCACTCACGATGCCACAAAGCAAGAAGTTAACTGAAGGGATGTATAATATTGAATATTTGTAATGAGATGAATAAATTAGTAGCGATGCAGCCTCCTTCAAGAATGCACTTAAAAAACAACCAGCGCTAACAGATATGGAGCTCAATGTCGTCACTGTGTTCAATGCCTTATCATCTTCTAATGCAGCATAAGCAACACATTAACGGGGCATAGCACAGAGAACTACAAAGGTATCATTAGCAATTAAAATAGTAAATACCTGAAAAACTAGCATCAGACAGATGGCATTTTGCTTCTGCAATGTGTGCACGAGCACGAAGCTCCAAACCTCCATGACCAAGAATCATAGGAAGGGCAGAGTGTGTGAGGGTTAAGGCTCTTTTTGCATGGATCGATCCGAGAGACAGCCAGAGCTCAGCCAGGGTTAGAGTAGCTGAAGCTTTTAGAAGATCTAGATTGAATGACTCGCAAAACGAGAGACTGGCCAATGCATATGGAATTCCTAAAACAGCATTGCCTGATTTCTGATAAGAGAGAAAGCTAAATGTTAATAACCAAAAGAGGACATCAAAAAGGATAATGGCATTCTTTTCATTCAACAGTGCACTGTTTCTAAAACAAAAACTGACATAAAATTATTAAGGGAGATCTAAGGGACCCTCCCTCCCTCTTTCTCTCTCTCAAGCAAGCTGGAATTGTTATGCACTGATGTACCCTAAGTAGCACCGACGCCGACACCGACACGCGACACGACACGACACGCCGACACGTCATTTCTCAAAAAATAAAGAATTCCGATACGTTGGAACACGTATATTAAATGTATATTTTTATATATACATGATGAATTATCATTTTTATGATTATTTCAATTAAATTAATTTGATTCAAATCCACAAATAAATAAATAATAAAAAAAGAGTGTCGGATGAGTGTCGGTGTCCGACACGTGTCCGACACCGACACGGAGGCCCCCGGAGAGTGTCTGTGCTTCCTAGGCTGTACCTTGTGTATTTCTGCAAGCAAGAGGAGGGTACTAGCATCCTGTACTCGCAGATTAAATTTATAACACATGCAGAAGAGTCTGTGCGCAACAGCTGCAGCCTGCAAAGACAAGTACATAAAAACAATCCATCTACATGAAAAACATAAAGACATCCATCTTTTATTCCATTTCCAGAGTTAAAATTAACAGCAACATCATGCAGACAATGGCACTACATCTAGAGTATGAAAAGACTTTTGGCAAATGACAAAGGAAACCAAACGGCAAATGTGGAGGACTGGCATATGTCATGGTTCCTTCTCTGGTAATTTATATCCACCTCATAGAAGCTAAATGAAAATCGCGTGGTAGGTAAATTGTGTTCATATGTATTCACGTAACGCACTATATAAATATCACTCGGTGGAAATCAGAAGTTGTTTAAATATGTCTAGACCTCACTGAACTGCTTGGCAGCAAGCAAAGTACGGGCATGACGAAAACTAGCTTCTGCCTTCAAATCCATGTCAACGCCTGTGACAGGTGATGCAAGGACTGCAAGCTCATCGCATACTTGTTGGGCCAACTTCAAGTGTCCACTGCTTCATGAGTAATTTGACAATGTCAAATTTTAACAACTAGAGGTTGAGTTAGGTACCAAAAGCACACATACCGATGTAAAGCGTGCTCGTGAAGTAGCTGCAATTTCAATACCATAATTTGTGATTTTGAAACTGATATAAACTTCTCCTCCACGGTCTTAAGAGCAGCAAAAGCAGCTAAAAGAAGAAAAATAAAAAAAAATATTAAGGAAGATGACATGAAGAGTTATACAAGCAAGCGCATAGGATATCTTCCTGTGCATCCATGAGAAGATAGGAAAAGGAACAGCCCGTAGATAAAAATTTGTAGGCCAGGAGAACATTTTACAGAAATTGAAAGGATTTGACAAGAACAGCAATTTTGCTGAAAAGAAACATGGAATCAAAGTCCAATTTTCTCTAATCTTCACCCTCCATATATGAAGATCTTGCATGTAAAAGAACAAATAGAAAATAAAGGTAAAAAGTAAAGGCAACATATAAATGTAAAACTTCACCAAATTGCAAAACCTGATCCAACTAAATCTAATCAAGCCCGCTAGTTCCCACAATTATATAAACCACATCGATACTCAGAAAAGCACCAACCAACCTAAACATAAAGAAGATTCAAAATTAGAAGAAAAAGATGGAGTGCTAACAGATCAAGGAGTATACAAGGCCTGGCTACAAAATTACTATGAACTCTCATAGATCCTACCAACTTCCTGTTTAAGACCTTCAAAAAGAAACAGGCAGATAGCAGAGTCCCTAGAAGAAAATTTTTTGATTAAAAGGACAGACTCCTATAATGGCTCTAGATCTTTTAACTCAACCTTTATATCCTTTGTATGCCGCTAAATACTGAATAAGCTTTCCGTAAGCCACTGCTGCATCAACTGAACTGAAAATATGAATAGAGTAGCAAACCTTAGGTCAAATAAGCTAGGATATTGAGAAAGGGCCTATAGAAGAGAGACATGTAAGGACATATATTTCTCAGAGATGTAAAACTTACCTGGCACAATCCACAAAGCAAGTCGCATAAACCAAAGCATTCATTCGAGCAAGAGGTGCACTGCAGGCAAAATAAAGGTGAAGCATCTAATTGGAAACAGAATGACTAACGACAATTCCTTTTAAATAATTCAATAAATGACAACGATAAAATCATCTAGAAATTCAATCAACCAACGAAGAGTTGACTAAAAGATAAGATGCATAAGCAGCCTATGCAACTCAACACATTATTCCCTAAAGTAGAACTAACCAGGTTTGAAGAAAGTTTTAATGCAAGAGATGTTTTCTACTGTTAAGCATGAGTTCACAGACAATAAACTACCATAAACAACCAATATCTTTAACAGTGTGCAGCTTTCAGTCAAAAGAACTTTTCTCGTTGAAAAGATCTTCTCTCCTTGCTTCATGAAGTCACACAGACAGTAACAATAATATTTCATCATCATGCATAAAATAATCTACCACATTTCACTAACAGAGAAGAAAAGTCCTTGTTCTAAACTATATCTTCAACAGAAAAATCCAATATGCCTAGTAAAAATTTTCAATAACAGAAAGATCCAAAGAGTTCCTCATTCAAATACAACCAATAGAGAAGCCCACAGAACCCTCTGCAATACGTCTAGGTAATTGTTGATGCAATTCTCTCATTGCAAAGAGGACTCAATATGCTTAAATATTGCTCAAATTGATTAAAGATAAAAATGGACCCTCACTGTGTGCTTTATATATTAATAACAGCATAACTCAAAGAGTGAGTTACGGAAACATGATACGACAAGACAAAATCTAGCAAAAACATAGATTTAGAACCCATATAATCTGCAATATCCATTTAAATACGAATCAAGAAGGATGACCGCCTATTTGGAAAATGAATTTACATAAAATCAAGATGGATGACTGCCCACTCAATGCCCTCTTTATCCTTGGGAACAAAAACGGCACCAGACATTTGCAACACTCAGTACATGCTTACATAGAGGGAGAAATCCTCATAAGCAATCATGAAAACAGAAAGACCTAGACATACTTTACAACTCGACAATGGACAAGTCAATTCAAATATTTAATTAGTGCTTCCTGAGTTAAAGCTCAAAAAACGTTCTATGAAGTATTAGATAACAAGAGAGAGGGAGATATACTCAAGTGATTACATATGCACATGATAGGCTAAATGCAATAGTATTAAGATGCTGAAATCCATAGCTCACAAAGAGAAAAGCTAATAAATAAGGACATTCCTATTAACCATAAACATCTGATTTACCGAATATCTTCAACAGGTTCAACCGTACACAGTATTTTAAACCATCTGTTCCGATGGCAACTTAACCTCTGAACGAAATATTACCTGCCATACATTTCCCATGCTGTGGCACGGAGCAAATATGAAGCACCAACCAGTTGCGACACAGATCCAGGAATAGAATTAGGTTGAGAAAAGAAACTGGAAGCATTAGATCTATTCCCAGGTTCAGTTTCTTCAAAAATTACTGATGAACCACTTTGTCTGTGTAAATTCTTAAGCCAAGTAGTACTCAATGAACCATCAGTTATCATCATGGAACTTTCGACGTCGAAGTCACTAATCAAATTAGAACTTAATCTCAGTTCCTGCAATAAGAATTGGAGGAAGCATGAAGCAGAATTAAGCAAATTAAGAGGTAAAACAAAACCATGCAGTTTGCGGACGGGTAATAGCAACACATATTCTAAACTAAAAGACATTACCTTGCAAACATTAACTGGGCATGTTATAAGCTGCATGGAAGCTTTGGGACCAAAGGATAGCACGGGTCTTTGTACATGCTGCACATTGTACCAGAAAGCAACAAGATTACAACATATGTCTAACCCTCTCAAAGACTCCCTCCCTCCCTCTCTCCTGCACGTAAAAAATCCACTAAAGGAGAACTGACTGACCAAAACTACAGTTTGTAAAAACAGTATCACCGGCTCAAACACTCCATCAGACATTTCACTTAGTTCAGGAATCATTGCCCTTTCTCCTTAAAAGAGAGGATATGCATACAAGAATACAAGACATAAATTTATATCTCACCATTAAATGAAATTTAGCCATCGCAAGATGATTGGAAGCCACCAGTCTTTTTAACTTCAAGATTTCAGCTCTCTTTAGAGATTCTTTCAAAAGTACAAAGAGCTGCTGGTGGATTGATGATGACGTTCCCATGTTGGCAACAGGTGAATATGATGATCCAAGTAGTCCACTTGCATTTGATATACCAATTTCAGACAGCAAGTTACATATAGCTGCCAAAGTGTAGGCAAGACAGGTATCATTACTGTGCTGCACAAGGTAAAAAATTCAACCTCGGTGAGAATGTAACATTTGCAGTTTTAAAATGTGTCTTTGTGCTAAAGACCCACACAGCTTCTCTTAGGCTAGCCCATGAACAAACTGGGTCTCTTAGGCTAGCCCATGAACAAACTTAGAGCAGAACAACTGTATCCAAAACAACACTTACCATCAGAAAGGCTGCTAACTATTTCAGTCTGAAAGCCAAGAAGGCTATTGTTTTCCAGCTTATCTCTAAATTATAGACCTAGAATTTCACAGTTTGTTCTTTTATGGTGCCCTCGAGGTACCGTGTGAGAAAAGGAAAGAAGGATTAACTAAACGATGGTCAAATGGGCATTAGATGTAGCAGATTGCTATTTTATAGTAGCAATGGCAATTATTAATCTTGGACCCGTAACAGTCCATCGATTATGTTTTCTGACAGTATACTTGTCAAAGTGGAAAATGAACTGTGGTTTGGAGTCAAATAGGATGCAATCCTCTCATCTTTAGATACATGAACTTAAATTTTTACATAAGGTAATCTACTCAAGTTGAATGAAATAGAGACCGGGAGGTCATTTGATGATTGGTCAATCTATGCATTCTCCTCACCCCCCCATGATGACCAATCACACCCAGCCTCAGCTTCTTCAAACAAAAGTGAAGCATCTGAAATCGTTCTCTTCAAGCTCCATCATAGACATCTCCAAAGTTGACAAAAATTGGCACCAATTACTTTCTAAATAAGTCTCTAATAGGCCTACTTTTGAAAGAAAGTAACCTTACTGATCTCTAATCTTAAACAGTGACAAGTTTTCGTTCCAAGTTATTTTCCAATTAATCCACAATATATGTCCAAATATTCAGAACTCCCATGAACAGCAGGTTCTGGAAAACACATGGATACTATATCATCACAAGACAGACTTACAAGTGATTGTCTGGGTCAACTATCTTGTAACATGCTCTTGACACATCCATAACTAATTTGCCCAAAAGGATATCTGGCTACACCAACACATCTGATTCATTCTTAAGGAAGAATAAATTCAATTAACTTGCCGCTAGGTTGTCACGTCAAATTTTGAAACCATATAAAATGAAAGCACTGATCAGATGATAATATCAGTCAACAAGCTACTATTCCTATATAGATAACAGCAAAGAGAAACTTCAAACAGAAAAGAACATGAAATGAATGGCAAATTTGTATTGAGGGATGAGATTATGGATTACCTGTTGGGAGACACGAACTGCTTCAGTCAAAGCCTAAACACCAAAAAAAGAAGAAAAAATATTAAACTTATTAAAGCATGAAAAAGGATGCTGAAACTGATCGAATCAGACTTAAGGGAAACATGGAAACAGGGTTGGTTGCTGTTCTAGATCATATGGATGAGACTGCTCTCCCGTTCTTACCTCCACAGCTTGCTTAGGATGACCAAAGTGAAAATGCAACATCCCTGAACATAATAAAGCAATCTCATATCTTCCAATATTATTGAAGCCAGATGAGGGAGGAATACCATCAAATCCTTCTATCCCTGCACTTTTATGTTGACAACATTTAAATTAGCATATTGTCAGAGATAATTTACCGCCAAATAGTCAGAAGAAGCTTCTAAATAGATAGATAGACAAGAATCCAAAGTTCAACAGAATAATAACTCAAGAAACTCAAAATTCCAAATGGGATTCTAGCTCACAATTATCACAATTTATAAGTCCTGAATCTTAAGTGATTAATTCACTCTGATTCCCTTCATGAAGCAATTTTCGGGAGTGATCGAAAATACGAGTGGACATCAAATTATTGTTTAAAGCCTGATTTTATACTAAATTAATTACCTTTTTAGCTTCTTGCTAGTCCAAAAATAGAATAATAGTCGTCGTCATTAAGTCAAATTTTTTTAGGCTTTCAGCCACGACGTCTCCAATTATAACTAAAATTTCAGGATGGAGTAACATCTATATAACTAAGATGACAAATTAAATGCAGGTTATGCATGGACTAGGCTCCACAACAACTGAAGCACCATGGCATCATCATTTAATACTAGTCATCAATATTTACCTATAATCAAAATATTTATGCAGATTCTCCAAAGCAGAGGCATAGTCATCGTGGTATAAGCTGTTTAAGTATCGTAAAAAGTGTACCTGAAACCAAAGCCACCACCAAATACTTCAGCTTCCAGCATAGATGTCAACAATTTTAAAGAAAGGTCAAAAATAAAAAACCAACAACATGATAACTTACACGATGTAATTCAGGTGCCAACTTTTGAAGTTGCCCGAGTATAAACTCTAAAGCATTTAAAGGGAAAGAGCTACCATGCCTGTCATTGAGATAAAATACAAAATCAAGAGCACTCTTGTTTAGAAACAAAAAACAGAGAAATAAGAAAGAAAGGAAAAATAGGAAAGAATTACTTCTCGATTGCATCTGTTTGCTCTAGCAGGTATCCTTGTATTTGCCAATTTGAACGCAGGAAAAAGCCATGATCAACAGCCCCAGACGAATCATCAAGTGTCATTGCATAAGAACAAGCCTCTTTCCCCTTTGCGTTCTGTTTAAACATTGGTTTGGCTGAGAGTTCGATATCTGTATGTCGAGGTTACCAATACGTTGTTACTAGCTTGCAACCCTTCTGGGTGGACAGGTCTTCAACTACTAATAAACAGTAGAGCAACAGCACTGTAGACAAAAATACAACTTTTCATCCCATAAGGTGACTCCGTGACTTGATCTCACGCAATCTCTATTGGCTTAGGCAAGCAAAAACAAGCCAAGACTTTGATAAGTGGTGCTTTCAGAAATATTTCTAAATATTTGTTAATAGTGATAATACCATGTAATGGCCTTCAAAATGTAGTTCCTACCATAGCCTTGTTCAGTAGTCTTCAGCATTTTAAGATGCTATATAAATAATTGAGCACCCATACCAAGGTGCACTCCGCACATAATTATCAAGACTGCTGGTATTCTTAGAGGTGCACTCTCAGAAAGTATTTAACAATTTGCATGAAATGCATTACAAATATTATAGCTCTATTGCACGGTAAAAAATGATCTTGTCAAAAATTACTTTTCTCATTCTACCCACATTCACAAGCAATTACCAAAGGTTTGCCATCTGAAGCATTCATCATCATTCAAAATTCTCTCTTAAATTACATGCAAACATCTCAAATAGTACTGCTGTCAGGAGGGCACTGCTAACGGACCATTTTTTAAGTTAAAGTTACCTTCAACCAAACCAAAGATCGGAGAGGGCACATGAAGGTGAAAAGGAATCCGCTCTCCAGCCTTCTTCTTAGTCTCAATTTCTTCGGTAACTTTCTCAAAAACAAAATTTTCGAGGTCCATATTTTCATACTCTGATGCTTCCATGAGATTAACACCAGAACCATCCAAGTGGGCCTCATGAGGAGCACGGCTTGAGAGGACTTCTTTACAGTACAAAGAAATATTGGTCAAAAGATGGCAAACACCCTGCACATTTAACATTTCTATTGTCAAATTAACAATAATTGCTCAGATAACATTTTCAGACTGATCTTCTTTTACCCCATGTGAAAAACGATATTTCGAGCATTCATGTGCTTGCAGGTACAAGAAAGTGAGAAAAGGAGCATTTAAGCAGTTCTAAAGGAGGGTAGCTAGAGTACCTCGAAGGACAGGAGATTAAATGCAAGTATGCAGCGGCGAAGAAATATCCCAAGGTTGCTATTTGGGTCCAGTATAATCTGGTCATCTTCAACAACACCAGCATGTTGGCCAGCAAGGGCTCCTGGGTAATATATTTCATAAAGTTAGATTTACAATTTAACTTGTACTCTTGCAGAAAATTGAATCGTTCGAACCAGTTCATGAGAGAACAATGCAACATGTCCAGTACCAAACTGTGAAGATGAAAAGATAAAGTAAGAATTTCCTGAGTAAAGGTTCAGCGTCCGCTAGATGAGGCACTTTCAGCAAGATTGATAACCATATAGAATATTTCAAAATGTCCAAAGTACTTATGATATTTGTAGAATCCATAATTCTAGGATGATATACTTTTATTCAATTTAGGCATAAAACCAATTGGGAAAACGAAAAATGTTCACCTAAGCGTTGAAGGATATTGTCCACAAGACTATGTAGGATTGGGATTTCTAATCGCTGTTTAGCTTCCCTCTTTTTCTGTTTTCTTAGGCTTCGCGCTTCGCTTTTAGCATCACTCATAACTTATCAATACTTAACGAAGTGAAAGATAGGTAAAGAGGTCCAAGAGAACAATGAAGCAGCAAGTCATACCCCGCCCTTGAGTATTCGCAGGAGCTAAATCACCCGGCATCACACTCATTATGCAAACGCAGAGAGAAATTAATAACAATACATGAACACGAATGAACCAAACTGACCTCGCATTTCAGCGAAAAGGTTAAATAGATCATCCGGAGCAGACAGAGAGGACAGCCTGCTGAGTAAGTGGTCAGCTAACCAATCGATCGATGAGTTTCCAATTTCCCTCAACTGATTTATCAGGTCATGCACCTTTGGCTCCAATATATCGTCACACGACTGCATCATAGAATCACACATCCTACCGTAAAAACAAAGCTCCATACACTCACATGTGCAAAAACAGTCCCAGTCAAAGCTCAACAGGAGATAGCCAACATCAAATCGGAAATGCAGATAAGAACCTCAACCTAGGAGGAGCTCACGGAGAGTAACGGAGTACCTTGGTGAGGGCAAGCAAGAAGAGGCCGAGGCTGTTGTGCTGAGCGAAAGAGGAGAAAGGGAACGGCACGAACAGTTGATTCGGAGAAGCGTAGACCTGCAGGAGTATGCAGAGCGAGACTTTGTGCGGCGTGACGTCGAACGCGCCCGGCACCTTCACTATTCCCGCCATCGCCGTCCGCTACGCGAGCATCTGTAGGTGCTACGGATTGATCGTTGCAGGCGACGGTTTGCGGACTATCACGGCAATGTTGACGCGCCCGAGAAGAAGGAAAAAGTCGGTGAAGATTTGTCCGGCGAAGGAACGTCGCTGGATCAGGATTTGCCGACGACGACGATGACGACGACGACGATGTTGGCGATGAAATGGTTTTTAGGGTTTTTTAGGGGATTTTCGAAAAAAGAGCCGGGAAATTGGCTCGGAATCCGGGTCGGATCATGTCGGTGTCGGGCACCCGCAACCTGCTGCTCGCAAAATTGGACCGGACCAGACCGGACCGGTCAGTTCAATCGAGAACCGACAGGTCTCCGGCCCGGTTCATACTATATCGTGAGTGGTCAAGACCTGCCAAAGGAGGGGCAAACCGGTCATGCCGTATGGGCAAAAAACCGGATGTTGACTTTGTAAAATGGAAAAATGGACATGACATGGGAAAGTGCTCCTTAGCCCACACCATTATGTTTCTGTCCAGAACTAGTTTTCTATTCCCAGAAACAGATTTGGAAAAGAAACCCGTTTGGTAATACAATTCCATTTTTCTATTTCTAGAACAACTTTGTGTTCCGGAACTAGTTATGGACCAAAAATCAAAACAAAAAAAATAGATTTTCTGTTTCTAGACGGGAAATGAAAATCATTTCTAAAAGAACCTGTTTTCTCTCTTCAAAATACATCTCTTCCTAAATTTGGCCCCGGTCTGACCTGATCAGATTAATTCGAACCGGTTTGGTCCGATTCATTCTTGGGGGGGAAATAAAAAAATTTCTAAAAAAAATATAAAAAACGTAAAAAATTAGAAAAATCAGAAAAAAATAAAAAAAAATTCAAAAAATTCATTAATAAATTTTAGAAAATCCGGAAAATTTCTAAAAATCTCAAAAAAAATTTCAGAAAATCCATAAAAATTGAAAAATTGCAGAAAAATTCATAAAAATTTCCAAAAAATAAAAAAAGTAGTCAGATTTTGGGAAAATAGGAAATTTGGTGAATTTTTTCAAAAAAAAATCAAAAAATCAAAATTTTCAAAGCTTCACAATATAGCTTAGAATATCTGTGGTCACCCACTTTGAGTGAAATTTAAATTTTTTTAGGTGCCAAAATGGTATTTTTGAAGACTCCTTAGTTTAGGGATTTAAAAGGGGTTTTATCCTCTAAAAAACCCTAAAAAGGGTTTAAAACCCCAAAAGTGGTTCTAAAAAAATGGATTTCTGTTCTGAGAAATAGAAATTTGTATTGTTATCAAACGGGGTTCTGTTTCAGGATATAGAAATTTTATACTGTTATCAAACGAGTTTTTGTTCCATAAACATAAATTTTTTGTTGTTATCAAACGGGTTTCTTTTCTCAGAAATTTCGTTTTGGGAACAGAAATAGAAAAATCTATTTCTGTTCCAGGAATTGTTTCTGAAATAGAACGGTTATCATTCGCGCCCTTAACTAACTAAATTGTCTGATGGATATTTTAAGGGGCAAACATTATACTTAGGGCATGTTTGTTTCGCGAAAAATAAATAATTAAAAAAATATTTTATTAAAAATAATGGCTTGTATTTCTTATAAAAATAAATCAATATTTTCATCATTTAAGAAAAATATTTAGATATAAATTATTGTGGATAATGAAAATATTTTTCATTGATTAATTATTTCAAGCGATATAAGCGATCATTTTTTGGAAAATATTTTTCAAATTATTTATTTTTCACGAAACAAACGGAACTTTAAAGTGGATGTCGTTTATTGTTTTCAAAGAAAAAATTTTGTTGTTAGTACAGCGATTCGACATCTATTCCGCTGCAAGAACATTAGTAACCCATTCTTCCTATCTCTTCCAATTGCGCCATGTGAAAACTTGAAAAGTATTTGTGTACTACAATTTATTCTATGCTCATTATGGCAATAATGCCCATTTTTGTGTCATCAAATCCCAAAATTCGTGCTAGTGCGACAGTAATACCATCTTTCAACCAAAACAATTGTAAACTTAGCTCACTATGACATGATATCCGTATCTTTTCTCTCTATTCGCCAATACCCCAAGTTTGTATAAGTTTGGAATTTTGACGGCGCAAAAAATGTTTGAAATATTGGTGTCACGGTGGACAAGGTTTAGAATTCTTCGGGACACAATGAAAATTTTAGATTATTGATACAATCTTAAAAAAAATACGGGCTTTTTAGAAAATAAAAACACTTCCCTCCCGGAGACTAGGCGCAAATGAACAAAATAAAATGAGAAAAAGAAAATGAGAAAACGAGAGACAAAGAGTAACGTAGGAAAGACATCACCATCTTTCACCTGCAAGTCCATCGAAAACCTAACAGCCTCCTTGTCGGAGCCAGACTTGAACCTCCCTCGCTCGCTCGCTCGCTCGCTCGGCATCGACGAGGACTGTTATTTTTCCAGGCTGATTCGGCTCCCTGGAAGAGCCTCCGTCCGACTTCATCATGGCCTCCAATGGCGCTGCGACGGTCAGTTCCGCGGCACTTCCTGCTCGTGGTCGTTCATTTTTTTCTTTTTTATCATTTTTTTTGTGTGGGAGGGCGAGAAGCTAAAGGAATTGGGATGATCACGGTGTTTCCAGAGAGCCGCGGATGCGGAGAACAGCTTGGACAGGATCAAGCGGCAGCTCGCGTCTGGTTCCGGCAGGAACTTGTTGCAGGGCCCACTTCTCAAGCGATCCGAAACTGTATTTCTTCTTTCTTTCTCTCTCTCTCTCTCTCTCTCTCTCTCCGTATCTGTGAGATTCGTTTGCGATCTGGTCTTTGTTCTGTTGAATATCGCCTGGGTTTGGGTTCTCATTGCCGTGCCGTACGGCAGCGATTTGAATTGGGGTTTCCACCCTGATCAAGCTGCCTCAATGTGGCTTATGGGTCCTCCCTTGATCACTGCGTGAATGGAAATTGCATAGTATCTGTTGCCTTTTTAGAAAAAGGGTCGCATCGTTCTTTCTTCGTCTCTCTAATTTTGCGAATGTGTTTTGAATTAGTGATGTGGGGGCGGTTCAAATTAGACGAGGGCATGTGCTCGCTTAAAATTTGAAAGTGAACTATTCTCGGAGTAGAATTCAGAAGGGTGATCGTGCACGGTGTATAAGAGAGCCAGTGTTTCATAGTTCGGGGTAACGGGTGTTCTATCCAATGAATTAGTAGTAAGAACCTGTTCATCTGGTGTCATAGAGCGGCTGGAAAAGTTTGCTAGCTCTTTGTAATAGACAAAAGAAGTACTCATCGATGCAGTAAAATTTCTCCATTTTGATGCCTCTCTAAAAAATTATACGACTTCCATTTTCTGGAGTCTGGTGCCCTATGGAAATTGAGATGTTTTTATCATCATCGGCCAATTTACTCCGACAGCTCAAACTATAGATGTCCTCCCCTCTGTTTACTCCGAGGCAGTTGCCATAGGGGAGAAATGAGATCTATGTCTTCTATTGTCAAGCAAGAAATTCGGCTTTTTGCATTTCGACTTTGAATATCTTTGAAGTTAGCTTAAGTGTTTTATACAGTTAGCTTGACTTTTGTGGAAGAAAGGCACTTAGACCTGGTCTTCCAGTTTAAAATTTATATCCATCTTACTTAGTGGCAATGGTACTAGATAATCAGCCAGGGCATGGGCACTATAAGTTTCGCTATCTCCACTGGTGAAAGTGTGTCTACTTAAAAAGTTTTACCTTTCCCTGTCACGTGATCTGTCTGATGAAAAGATCCTGCATGTGATTTTCTCTTCTTGATAGCTAAGGAAGTGGAACGAGCGGTGGGTGATCCTAGACCCTACAACTGGAAGAATGGAATACAAGTTAGTCATTTCAAATTGGAATTTTCTGTGCTTTCATTTGTAAAAGTCTGTATTTATCATTTAAATTTCTTTGTTATTTGTTCATATCAGAATTAGGAGAAATGAGCCAGCTGTGAAGGGTATCATAATATTCGATGCTAATAGCACCATTACAGTGTCTCCTGTAAACTTCCAGTAAGATTTATTCTATCGGAAATTGTTCTACATGAGATTTCTGTTATCGTTGAGCTAATTTGAACTTTGCTTCATGATTTATGGATTTTAAACCTTCTATTCATCTATGTCTCAGTGGATTGCCAAAGTATGACGGCTGCTGTTTCTGTATCCTCTTGGCCTAGAACTTGATTTCTGGCTGTGAGCCTGTTATCGTCAATTGTAAATCTTCAAGTTGATATGTTTAGCATACAGTTTGCTATGCATCTATGTGCTTCTTAACCTAATTTATTAGACATTGGGACTCCCACAAAGAAAGATTACTTTCTATGTGCTGAAACTCCTGGTGCAGCCAGAGCCTGGGTATCTACTCTTCAGTAAGTTAAATCTTGCGTTCTGTTTTCATAGTTTAACAAACATTGGCTCATTTTCTCATTTGCTGTCACAGAGATTTTGAAAATTTACATGTAAAGGAAGTTTTTTAAAGGGTTCAGGAATTCTGTTACTCTGGTGATTTGATCTTAAAGCCGAATCGGGGAGAAAAGGCTGAAGATTTGTCTTGGAAATAATGAGTTCTCCACTATCGGTGGACCTAATATAGATTTCTTTTTTAATAGTGAATATCGCAGATCTTCACAAATGTATACATATCATCAGTAGAAATTTCTCATAATCAGTTAAAGTCAACCTATATTTTAGCCTTTGACCAAAAAAAACTATATTTTTGCTATAGTTTTGGCAGGAGGGTTTGATATCCATCCATGAATTTGATCATCATGATATGGATTTCTGTTGACTATATACCAAGGTCTATGAATTTATTTTTGTGATGAAGATTTATTTGTGGAGCATACACTGTGTCTTGTATAATTATTTTCAAGCCATAGTAGATCTCTCTTCACAATATTCCATTATCCCCAATTTAATTCTTCACTATCGCTACACTTTTCCTCTTGTTTTAACCTAAGAAATGCTCAGCTCTCTCCGTGACCATATCAGCTGTTATAAATCTCTCTCTCTCTCTCTCTCTCTCTCTCTCTCTCTCTCTCTCTCTCTCTCTCTCTCTCTCTCTTACGGTTCTCTATCTTTCCATCTTCCAACGATCAGTGCTACCCAGTTGGTCCTGAGGGCTCATAAAGAAGCTGTAAATTCCTTAAGTGGGAATGGTTCTGCTAAATTAGGAACAGTTGCAACTGTAGTTGCCGCAGCTAATTCAACAGCATTGGAATGTTCCAAAGAAATTGAAGCAGCAATGCAGATTTCTATGAGAAATGCTCTGGGGATGATGACAAATAAGCCAATTGATGGTCCAGTAGATGATATGACAATCATGAAGGTACAAAATCTGAATTCCTCTAAACTTACTCTTAATGCAGTGATGACAGGGCTTTCTATGTGAATACTTGTCGGCATGACGAGATCCTTTCCTTTTGTATTCAATTGTTCCTCACTTTGGGCATTGAACATTTTGGTGGTTTGCCTTTGTAAGATACACGATTCCTTTCACGTAATGAGTGGTGATCCTTTCTCTATCTGCAAAAAGATTGGACTTTTACCCTACTCAAGGGTTATTAATTTGCATTTTATCCTATCTGTGATTATACTGAGCCCAGCCTGGTGGAAATGGTCTCAATTTTAGATCCTTATACAGTTATCATAATTGACAGGCAATGGTAGTTCGCATGTCTTTTTATTACTGGTGTATTTGTTGCATTATAAATGCTATAATATTTTGCAGGAGACACTTAGAGTAAAGGATGAGGAACTGCAAAATTTGGCCAGGAGTCTTCGGGCACGGGATTCAACTATCAAAGAAATAGCAGAGAAGCTTTCAGAGACTGCTGAAGCAGCTGAGGCTGCAGCATCTGCAGCTCACATAATGGACGAACAAAGAAGAGTAGCTTGTGCAGAAATTGAGCGATTGATGAAAGATTACGAGATTCAGGTGGAAACGTCAAAACTGAAGGTAGTTCAGTTTTCATGGCTTGGATGTTGTCCAACTGCCCTGATGAGTGTATCACACATTGGTTATTAGGCACCAAATACCTCATAAAGGATGCATGGAAATGCCATCTAGCATAGATAGCCGAGTTCTATTTTTCTGTAGAGAGTTTTGTTTTCCTTCCGATGATTGGTCTGTTGCTAATCTGTATTTAGCTTTGTATGTGCAGTTGAAAGAGTCTGAAGGAAAGATTATGGTTCTTAGCAGAGAAAGAGATCAACTAATAAAGCAGAGAGATTCTGCTCTTCAGGAGGCACAGTTATGGCGTTCTGAGATTGCAAAAGCTAGAGAGCGTGCTGTTATCTTGGAAGCAGCTGTTGTCAGGGCTGAGGAGAGGGCCAGAGTTGCGGAGTCAGATGCTGCTGCTAGAATAAGGGAGGCTGAGCAGAAAGAGTCAGCTGCAACAAAGGATAAACAGGAGCTTCTTGAATATGTGAATGTTCTTCAAGCGCAGCTTCAAAGGTACAATCTTTACTTTTGATGACATCCATGAAGAGCACCAGTCCCTATCGTTTTCCTAGTTTCATCTCTTAACTGGTTGTCATGTTGACCTATTTGTATACTATACATGTAAATTCATCTGAACATAGATTCGTTAGGAATAGTTGGAATGGTGTGGAAACCCTTTGTTATATGATGATTAGATCAGTTCTATCTTATTAATGGTAAATCCTAATTTTATTGCTGTCACTCATCTAAGGCCACTGGCTAAGTTTGGTTTTTCATTGCTGTGTGGCTGATTTAGTATTAGTGAATCGATTTGCTTTATTTGGACAGACAACACATGGACACAAAGCAGGTTTTTGAGGAAAAAATCGAGTCTTGCTCAGATGTGGGAAGTGCCCTTCCATTGACGAAGCATGTAGATTCCTCGGAGGAGAATGTGGATAAAGCATGTCTCAGTGTCTCTCGAGCAGCATCGGTTTCCGGAGAAAATGTCATCCATGTGACTGGTGATCAAGAGAATCTCCGGCCAATTGGAGATGGGGAGTGGAATGATATTCAGGCTACAGAAGCAAGGATATCTGACGTTAGAGAAGTTGCTTCTCAGGCAGAGGGACGGAGCTTGGACATTCCTGTTGTTAGTCAACCAGTTAATAATGATCAAGGGCAAGGACAGAACTCATACCATCAGTCTTAATGTTTGGTCGTGTGAAGAGACTGATTCAACAAATAAAGTAATCAACAGAATCAGGAAATGTACACATAGGGAGTGGTACTCTACCAGAAAAGGTAAGCTTTAAGAGAATATGAACGTCAAATCTTTTGGAGTTGATTCTTTTCTCCCCTTCTGGAGTTTCAGTAATTGTTAACCTTTCCCATAGCATTGGTATTTAAGGATGTCTACCAGAGGCCATTCTGATTATTCTGCTGGGTAAGTTGGGGTCAACTATGACTCCTACGACGGACATGTAGAGCAGATGATTTGAACTGAATGTAAAATTTTCAATCAGTCTTGAGGTTGCTTGAAATAGTTAGTATCTTTGTGTTTCAGATTTTTTTAATTAAGGTATAAAGAGTTAATTTGTATATGAGACATGTTTATTAAGAAGGATTAGCATACCCCATGACAAGGCGTGTTGAGAGCTGAAACTTTTTTTTTTGGTCGGATAGAGCTGAAACTTGGGTTTGCAAAAAGGGGGCTGAATTTTTTCATCTATTGAGGATCGTGTGGATAATACTAATGAGAGTTAAACTTAGAGAAGGCCTCTCAACAGACTAGGATCCATCCTAATCCGAACTATAGGATCCCTAACCTCCCAAGGACCGATGCCCAAGAAAATTGGAAATAGTCTAGCTGATTTTACATTGGAGCCCACTACGATTGTGTCGAAAGAGTTCCCTTAGGCGATGTAGTCTCTTCAATGTTTGCACAAATTATGTTAGTTATGTTGCCTGATGGTGATTCAACCAAACACATTACCCCATGAAGTTATTCAAGAGTCTCTGACGCAAAAAAAAAAAAGTTTATTCAAGAGTCAACCGTCATCGCTAGGTTACCCCCCTTCTTGGTTATGATGAAGTTCGTTTGAGCAACTTTGGCTCCGTTGGAGTTCCAGTTTCTCTACAATATCGTCTAGTTTGAGGTTCATGTCATCGTTTGCAGACAACCTGGTTCCTTGATCATCTGAAAGTAGTATAGCTACTTAAAGGCTAGAAACCCTCATAATGTCCATCTCACGACAACCCCCCACCTCACCTGGTGTCGGGACCACTTCTCGTTGTAGAGGAGATTAGATCGACGGATGAGCTGGGAGAAAAGTGTGCATGTTTAGTCACTGTAGTGCTGAATGGCCAAGCCCAATATGACTTAGTTTTGTTCTGAATGTCAACGTGATGGTCACAAAAGAACCGCTGTTGTAAGCGTGTAGGGCCCTTGCTTTCCATGACTTTCGGTAAATGTTTGGTGGCTTGTGTTGTATTTGCTTAGACATCGAGAGATATCCAAGTCAAGTGGTTTGCCAAATATCTGCGACATTTTTCTAATTGAGGGAGAAATAGAAAACATGCGATTGACCGAGCTTCAATTCGCGCTGGTATGAGTGGTTCTCTCCTGTCGTGTCGGTCATTTTCTCAAATATTTTGCTTTGTGACTTTTGTCCCCTCATGCCGAGTCTTAGCCACCCAATGCAAAGAACCTTGCAGAATAGGGTGTCCTTGGGATAATTGTTCAGAAAGTCCCAAACTTATTGTATGGTAGTCAATTCAGTCATAAAATAATTAATAATGTCAATTTAGTCTTAAACTTTTTGATCATTTGCCAATTTAATCCTAAACTTTTTGAAAATTGGCCAATTTAGTCATAAACCTATTATTTTGGATATTTAGCCGAAATGACTACATTGGCAAATCGTCAAAAGGTTTAGGACTAAATTGGCATAACTGAAATGTTTAAATTTGAATTGGTCTCCTTACAATAGGTTTAAGACTTTTTGGACAATTTTGCTGCGTGTCCTTTGTATCAAGACGTAATGAATTGAGTCAATGAATCTCTCACTCTCTCACTCATTAAGCATACGAAATGAAGTGGCTTAACTCATAATTGAGAAAGTAACACTAAAGAGCCATTAATAGTATTAATCGAGGCTGTATGTTGTGAGGAAGTTAGACCCTTTACATAGTGTATGCCTATTTATCCCGATACAACATGATTTGGCGGAAACCACATCAAGGCTGCGTAACGGATGGCTTTACTGTTATGGAAAACAAGCAGTGTTTATTTAGCGGATTCTGACATTTACATGATGCCCCTTTATCTGAGAGAAGGGCCTACGAGCTCGATCGACCAAGAAACGTTAGTTTCGGCATTTATCTCCATTCGAAAGCTTGGCAAGGGTCGATGGCGACTCGCTCGACTACTGACCTTAGCTCATCCCAGCAGTTACCGTGCATGAGAAGATCCTCTCCATTCAGATTCCAGAATCCGGAGTAGGCCGGCGCTGCAAACGGCGCCTGAGATATCGAGTTCAATTGAGTGAAGAGCAGGTAGTTCCGGTCATCGAAACGGTCCATGATGACCGGCTTCGTCTCATTGTGGGTGACGACAGCCGAATCCCCGAAGCTCACGCACTGCTCAGCAGATTCAGATTCGAAGCTGTTTGTTTTAGAGCTTGAGTCAGTTGGGTTCTGCTTGAGGGTGGTGTTGTGCTCTTGCAAGTTCGGCGTGTACTTTCTGTGTGATGGGATTCTCTTGAAAATCCTGCATAGTGTCCAGACCTCCTGCAAAGCCCACCAAAGGAAGAGAATCAAATTCAGTTTTCAATTTTTCTTTTGGCCATCGAAAATCAAATACAGTAAGAACATGAGCTTCAACTTTTCGTACACATAACCTGTTTTCTGATATGAAAACGGGCCAACCATGTGTACATGGAGCAGGAACATGCATCCACAGGAAAATAAGATGGTATATGAACTCATCTTAGAAATTTCAAAATTGTACGGCCGCCGATGGAATAGAATATTCTCGAGTAGACTCGTTCACATTACATTCCATGATATATTTGACCACTTTATCAATTAAAGGTAAAGAGCAAGAAGATGACCCTTCAATCTGACGATGTTGGACATGCATATAGATTGTAAAATGAAGATTGCAGTTTATTTGATAAATCTTTTGACGCTGTCTAATATGTAAGTTAGAAACAGGTTTTTATTAATTTGATCATTTTCTATCAAAAGTGAGCTAAAGACTTAAAAGGAATAGAGAAAAAAATATACTTATCACAAAAAATCAGATGAAAAAGAACAATAACTTTGTATAGAAAATAATGATGATTATGTTTCTCCTCATCATTCCCATGCAATAGTGTAGATGATCATTGCAAAACTCTAGTCGACATAATCAAGAATGTTGAGCAACACCACAGTGAAAATGGATCAAGGGAGAAAATGAATGGAGTGAGAATTCTTATTCAATTGACGGCGGAAGTGAGAAAATGAATGAAGTGAGAAATCTTACGGCTTCTTGAGCAATGTTCTTGGCGGAGGAGAGACTATCATGGGCGGCTTTCCCCGACAGTGGGAGCCGGAACTCGTGCATCATCCAGTCGGTCTTCGTGCCTTTCCCGGCACTTCCGATGTAGTAGACCAAGGACTTCTTGAGGCCGATGCAGTCGTGGGGCTCTTTGGCCGCGTGTATCGGCTTGTCGATGCCGGTCGCTTTCCAAAACCCGGACCCCGTGACTCGGTTGGGCCTTATGCTGTTCCTGTACTTTCTCCCTCTCATGCAGAAGAAGTACCATTCTTTCTCCCCAACGGTGCTTACTTCTTCAAATTTTTCACAATATGACAGTGAACTTTAGTGAGATACAAGTTTGAAATTTTCTATATAGTTCACACACTCAGTATTAGGTAGAGCTCTAAATATACGTATATATGTACGTAGGTATGTAATTTTCACCGTGAAAAGAAAAAAGAAGTCCCATTTTCTTGTTTACCGGCTATAATCATCATATTTTCGAAGGAAGGGAGACTATGTAGCTTTTCATTTTATCAGGCGATTAATCTTCCAGCTTTTCACAATGGCACCGAGATGCTTCTCATTCGGCTTCAGAAATTTTCTTACTCCGAATCTTATTGGGCTTATGTACACAAACAGCCGAATAAGTTAATCATTTTCTCGATCAAGTGTTGGAGAAAATTTCTCAACCTTTTTGATATTGGAGGAGATATAGGCGGACCACGATTTGGAAGAAGTAAGTTCAAGGTGTTTGGTGATCATACTGGGATTCTTTCACTTACTATTCGCAGTTTCTTTAAGGTTATTACATATGAAGTAAGGAGGGATCTGTCTGAGAAGAACCATCTGATGATCAAACCGCTAAGAAATGGATAATATATATATGCAGATAGTGATTCTGTAAACCTTTCACGTATAGTAATTAAAACTCAGTAATCTTTTTTCTGCTGAGCAAGCATGTACTACTAGAATCCTGGTGACCGTCTTGTGCATCGTCGATTGTTGCCGGCTAAATAAGTAGCTAGCTTTTATGGATAAAACATCTCCATCATAAGGTAATTCAATGAATATTAATCCTTTGGTTGTTCGAACAGATTCTCAGCTCAAACTGACCAACAAGACAGTCACATGTGCTCATCTATGCATATCGAAACCAAAAAAAATTTCTTCTTCTGATATTTTCTCTAACTCAACTTTCTAGGGTCGAATCACTTTAAGGATGCATGCTTTGAGCTGCAGAATTATTGGAGAAATCAAGATGAGACATATTAAGGCCGTCGATGATCTACACCGATGTAATATTCCACAAATACGATTGAAAGAGATGATTTTTCTGATCAGTTCAGTATGAAATACACAAACTGTACAAAGAAGAAAGCGAATGGATGCAAAAAAGAAACTTACTTGGAAGATCCCAAGGGTCGTACTTGTAGATATCGACGTGCTTGATGAGCTCGATGCTGAGAGGCTTCTTCTCCACTTTCCTCTTGAGGTAAAACGCGACGAGCTCTTCGTCCGTCGGGTGAAACCGGAACCCCGGAAGAGCCGTCCCGCCTCCATCTTCATCCTCCTTAGTCCTCTCTCCACTACACTCACTTATGCTCTTTTTCTGCATAACCTCCATATCTCTCGCCCTCTCTCTCTCTCTCTCTCTCTCTCTCTCTTATTTCTTTCGCTAATAATCTTTGTTGTCTCTTCGGAGTGTCCTAACTCAACATTCAGGTCTCGAAGCAGAAGCTTCTTATAGTGTGTGTGGGGGATCAGATGTTTGCATATGAGAGAGAGATCGATCCCGTGGTTTGGTTTTGGTCAATAATGGACTTTGATTATTAATATAAACCATTAAATGATGATGGAGTCGCCATCCCCAAGAGAAAGTTCTTTATTTCCAAAGAAAAAAGAAAATCGGTTGGCCGGGCTCGTTCCACGGCTGACATGATCGACTAATCTACCGATCACGGATTAAAGTAATATACGGTATTCTTTCTCTATTTCTCGTAAATACTTTTATCAAGCGCTAAATTTGCGTCCTCTCTCCTAAGTTCAACCTGTACCGATCATCGAGATGGCTCTAGATGATCATCTATAGGCAACTTAGAACTTAAATAAAGAAATTACGAATGTGATCCTTACCGTTCCGTCAAGAATGGTCGAAGGTAAGAGAGAGAGAGAATAAAATGGAAAGCCGCTCCACTGCCGATGCGGTAAGTACAATCAATTAGAGCACGACAAGTCTGTAATTTGTAAAGCCATGGCGTTTTAAGTAAACGAAATTTGGCTAATCATTTGTTTTTTTGACTATAAACGTAATTGTTATACTAGAACGAGTTTAGAACCGCCTACGTCGTGCTGATAAATATTGACTCTATCAACATGCTCACTTCAAGGTCGTAATATGTCTGGTGAAAAACCTGATGCAGAGGGATTTTTTCTTGAACTTTTTTTGAAGTTATTATCGTTTGATTGCGTAAATCATCCGGAGAAAGTCAACCTGAGCGGCCCTGATTGTTTGACTTATTCAGGCTGAGTTCCGCCTCGTGTGTCCTCTCTGTTGGTCTAAAATATCTGAAGATTAGGGTTTCATAGCGTGATTATATTACCTTTGTTTAATTTAGATTAGATTCTAGAGAATTCAATAATCATGTCGCTTCTGAAATGAAATTCCACGCCCACATAAAGAAATTATAAAAAAGAAGAAGAAGAAGAAAATTTGTTCGAGGCCCTATTAATTAAAGTAGACTAGCTTGGCGAATTTTCTTCATTTGACTCGGAATTTGGAATGTAGCGTGCTTGCTTCCTTCTTCATATAGTTGGTTAATATATTGATAAAGTCTCGCACACATGCTTATGTTAAAATACTCATTTTAATAGTGCATCGAGAAAGAAGAAAATTCAAAGTCACTGTGGACTATATTTGCACTTGCACGTATTTAGGATTCTAGTAACCCCCCCCCCCTTTTTTTTTTTTTTGCATTTTTGAATTACTATCTGTTGACAAACCGATCGGATATAGAGAGAGAATCAAACTCGAGACCTCGCGCTTATTTGGGCATAAAATCCTCGTCATTTTATCGCTCAGCCAATCCCTTGAAAGTTTCTCTGCCATATTAGTTTAATTGAACGTTCTATGTCTATGTTAGACACGAAATTGACGAGCAAAGCGACAATGCGCTTTGTATCAACTTATGACTAAATTGTTGGGGTGTAGTTCATGCTCCCTATCGACAGGAATGCACGGGGTCTTGCTTTTTTATTAGTAGTTTGGGTTGAGCCTATGAATAGTTACTGTGCTGCCTATATAAATAATCTATTTCTTTTTTAATTGAGACTTATAACAGAGAGGTGGGGATATTAATTATAGTGGAATCTTCCGTTGGATGTAGTTCTAACTTAAGGATTGAACTAGGATAAAACCCTGTGTCTCGATTTCTCTTTCTCGCCTTTACTCATCATTTCGTTGTGTTTATATACCTAATCCTAACATGAATGTGATGTTATTAAAAGCCTCTTTTCTAGAAGGTTGTCTTTGTAGAAATTTCAGAATTATAACCTGAATTCTTGCCAAAATCCAAAAGTATAAGCCGAATATATATCTAACCATCGAGGACTTGACCTTGATTTTGCAGACTAATCAAACTTATCCCAAGAGAAAAATGAATGAGGACATTACGTACACAGAATTTTCTTCGAGGGTGCGATAAAATTCCGAGTGATGTGTGAAATTAGAGGCATAATTAAGTCATGATCTGTCGCGATCTCTCTAGTACAATCGTACCATCGAGCAATCTACCATCTGAACATGCAATTTTTTCCATGCTTAGTGTCCTGAGACCCAATGAGTACAAGGCAGTCGCAGCCATACCAACTCACGCAATAGAGAGACCGAGTGAAGCTGGACCACTTATGGCAATTTGATTGACTTAGTGATTGAAAAATCAACGAGTGTGCGAGCTAAGCACACGTCATAGGTTCGATTTTTCATATCATGATCAACGAAATAATTTCATATTCGAGCCACCCATCCGGATTATGGCTTGCATCTTACCTAATTCATAAGTTTAGTTGGGTATTTCTCATAGGTCGAATTCCATATAACTTGGCAAGCTTTCGATTTCTAGGACTTCCTTTGTGTTGTGATTTAGCAGGCTTTTGATTTCTCTTAAACCCAACCAATAATCTGACTGAATCTCGTTTACTGAAGTTTCAACTTACACACGGTCTTCCAAGTATACTTTCGTGTCTGTACTAAAGTCTGCAACTGATCGGCCGGTTAATCACGTATGCGTACTGCAGGCCATATGGCTGTATCATACTGATGCAGGTTGTATATGTAAGTAAGATCCTTCTAACAAGGATGACTCGTTCTAGGCACTTGTCCCCAAGCAATGCCTAAGTCCTCATCAGGGTTGACCCAGCATCACTAATCACGAATTAATGTTGCTGCAGGATTTTAACGGAAGACTAGGGCAAGGTCAACAAACACAGCTGCTCGACATAAATGAATTTCTTGGAAAAAATCTTGGTGAAGACCCCGCCCTTTCTGCATACATCTTTCACCATTGGCGTCCATTTGGATGCGGCCCGTGTCCCTTACTATATAATTATCATCGAGAGAAATAAATGCGACCCGTGCGATATCATTGCCCGACATGGTCTCATGCATTTTTTGAGTTATAAAGTCTCGATCCCTTCATCAATCCAGTACAGTGGATTCGTTGTGTATGTTTGATAGACGATCTTGATTGTTAATCTCTTTTGATCATGAGCTAATGTAGATGCGCACATTTTGTATCTGATAGCGATATTCTTCATAGAGAAACGCTAAACGCTGGCAGATGCGTTGTTCGGGATTCTCATGAGCTCGTGTGTACACATACCGGGTGCATACTTATACGGACACGTGGAAAATTAAAGACCACAGAGTCATCATCGACATATCTCTTTGCGTGCCGCGTCCATGTCGACCGAATAATAGTTTGAGACCCAAATATATATTTTCCAGGATTGCTTTCTAGAGAGACCCTGGCATATGCATGGAATCATGAGGACTGCTCTCTCCATACTGAGCTTTCGTAAGTGGCCCATGCAATGGAAAAACAATGTATACGGCCAAGAGGAGAGAGAGAGAGAGAGAGAGAGAGAGAGAGATGCAGCAATGATAATGAAGGGTGCAATTAGGTTTCAAGTCAATGGAGAGAGAATAGAAAAGCATATATTTTATTTGCGGGCACGACTATGCCCCAAAAAAAAAAGATTTGAGGAAAAGTCCAAGTCCATGATTGATATTTTGCTTGGGTCAAGTCCTCAGCTGTTTGGCTCTAGAAACACCAAAAAAGTCCATTTAGAACCTTCTTCTTTCGTTATCTGACAGACTTGGCAATAGAAACCCTCGGTTTTCATTTATGCCCTCGCAGGAACTTTGTGAAACTTGTCTATTCTGGCCCCAGCAGGAAATGCCACTCATCTCCCACCGTGACATCTTTTGATTTTAATTGTCTGTGTCGGAATTCTGTGTCATGGTGTCATTCGGCCTGATATTTTTGAAATCAAATTCTGGGAAGTTGCTGAGGATTCCACTGTGATATGATTAGAAACTAATAAGGTACATGTCCATAACAGGACAGCACCCTTTTGTTGATGTCTAAGATTATTTAATTTGTAGGAGATTTTCCATGTGTCTAAAAGGAACCAAACCTTTTGAATTGATGTTACTAGGGTTTGGCTCAAATCACATATGATTAATTCAATACAATTTTACACATCTCTCTCTCTCTCTCTCTCTCTCTCTCTCTCACATGCAGTCAAAGGAAGAAATCATCCATGTTAGATCAGATTCCATTTGATGGCTGTAAGAGCAAGATTCTCCATCTTGATTAATACATGATACAGTCATAGAACCATACAAGACGTTAGTCTGAACCCAATAATGAGGTTCGATGACTTGTGAGATGTAAGGTCTCAACGTCTCCATCAAATCATTTAATTTGTAGGAAAGTTGCTTTGAGTTCTCTGACTAAGGCTCTATTTATTTCTCGAAAAATGAATGATTGAAAAAATATATTCCTAAAAATCATTACTTATATCGCATGAAATAATTAGTCGATGAAAAGTGTTTTCATTTTCGATAACAATTTATGTCTAAACTATTGGGATCTCGAAACAAAAGTTCGGATACCTTCACCTAGGGAGATCGCCAAGAGGAAGGCCAAGTCTGTGCCTGTCAACATATCTAATTGGATCCACCTTCACTTAAAAGTTTAAGCCAATGAGATATGAGACAATTAGGATATATTTATCACTCCACACCACATCAATTCTCCGATTTGAGATTTCCTAACACAACTCACACGTTCATCTCGACATAAACATTTACGTGGATGATGAAACTATTTTTTTAGAAAAATAGTTTTCGAATTATTCATCTTCGTAGCTCTTTGGTTAACGTAAAAAATTCACGAAAACGGCGAGAGAGTCGAAACTCTTTATCTCCCGTAGCTCTCTAGTTCACGTTAAAAGTCCACGAAAGCATCAAGAGAGTCAAGCTCCTTCTCCACCTTAACTTTGCGATTCACGTTGAAGTTTGACGAAAGTGGTGAGAGAGTCGAAGTACTATATTTTTCGGAATCGCGAAGGTGAATGATCATGTTTTCTCTCTTTTACTAGAATTGGCATTCGCTTGCTGATCTACCTCGTCAATATTGCTGGTGCTCGTTTACATTTCTTGTATAATCAAGTTTGTGGTTTTGGAATGCTGCGATGAGCTTATTTGCTATTTAACATTTAGTTCGCACTACACTCCTAGATTGA